AGAACGCGAACGAATGATTCTCCGGAGTTGAAAATTATTCTTATCGGCTTCGTTAATTTACCTAGGACGGCGTCGCCTGCTTACGCGCGCCGATTGAAGAAATTACAGGGCGAATAGGGAGGGACGGAGAGAGAGAGAGAGAGAGAGAAGAAGATCAAAAGCTAATTTATCGATTCCATTGCAAACTATTGCAACTATATGCAGATATTGGCTGGCTGTGTGGTGTAAGCACATTCGCCGGGAATCTCATCAATCGCGAAACAATCGCGGGGAGCGTTTAATCGCTTGCGCTTGTGTCAGAGTAATTGTAAATCAACCATTGGGTTTAATACTTGTACGTGATATCGTGACTGCTATCTCAAAGCCCCGCGCTATCGATGTTTTATTTCTCGGTGTCGAGTATGAATAAAATTTTCTTACATTATTCGACCGTTGTTGTTTATTCGAGGCAACTCGTGGAAAAAGCCATCCCGCTCCTGGCCCAGAAAAAGTTCTTGAATAACATTTCCTCAAATTCTAAATGTTTAGACTCCTGTACTTTTATTTACTCGGTCCCGTAAATAAGCGTTTGGAAAATTCTCGCCTCGCCGAGACATTGACATCGCAATTTAGTTGTTGGACCATTTGTTTGCCCACGGCTATTTGATTCCTTACTTCTGAGAAATCTCGAATGCACGACGCGCGCACGCGTCACGTCGGCAATCTTTATCCGGCAGTACATGTCCGATCGTTTCATTTCAAATCAGCCGCAGCTGACAAATCTTTCGTTACGGACGTCATTAACAACATCGCGGCGCGCCCCATCCAGTCGCTTTTTGCTATTTTTGATCAAACTCGTGATTTCGATGGCGCACAATGGACCGGCCATCCTTGCACCTCGTTTCATTAGCGAATTACTTTATTCGACTTTTCAGACTTACTTTTCACCTGCCCCGAGCACCAAACCATCGACTTTACGCGTCTCCCCTTCATATTTTAATGCTCAAATACGATGGATAAGCATCCTCGCTACTGGTTCCATCGCGCTTACCAATCACGACATTTTTAAAATGTTTAGTAGCCAGTTCAGTAGCGAATTTACGGCAATATCACGACACTATCACACTTATCGTTGTGAGAATACGAGTGGCTAAGCCATAGCTTCTACTCAATATGCACAACTATTCGCGATTCTCTCATTAGCGAGGACTCTCGCTCCGTCTTACGTCGTCCGTCCCCTCGCCGCCCCGCTAACACGGGCTTAAACTCACGTACTCGTCCGTAGACGCGTAGCGGTAGATATAGATAGATTCCGTGGCAGCCCGTTATCACCGAAGCTCGTCTCGTTGCTCATTGAGGAGCTGCCTGGCCGACTCGTGGTGGCGTTCGTACTGGTGTTCGCGAGGCGGCGATCGGCCGCCTATTTTCTATCGACTCGGACTTTTAAAAGTCAAGAAAAGTCCCCGCATCGTATGGAAATGGCCTTTTTGCGCGCGGCATTTAAGGCTCGCGCCAGCGGCACGCGCTCACGCATCGGCGATCGCGACGGAGGCGCGTCGCACGCAGCAGTTCGAGTCGCGCGCACCGTCGGGAGGGGGGGGGGTCGACGGAGTGCACGCCGGTGCAGCTGTCGTCGTTTCCCTCCGGCCCGGGATATCCCTGGGCGCCACAGGTTCCAACAGGTTGCAGGGGGATAGAGGGTGCGTTGCGTGCGCGCTCGTACAGAGCGACGGCGATGAAACGAGCGGCGGGGGGTCGGGCGAGGGGTGGGGTATGGGAGGGAAGGGAATCGGTGGACGATCTATTTACCCGCTCATCGGAGTACATTTTTGTTGGGATTTACGGCTCGGCGCCGTCGCGTCCTTTGCCGCCTCTGCGGAACTGACTGCTGATCCCGACACTTAACGCGCGCCCGGCCATTGTCTGCCCTATCCTATGAGGTGAAACGACCTTTTCTATGGCGACAATCGAGGCCACTCGATTTGTGGGCACTGCTATCTCGTTCGCCGGCACAATGCGCACGTACGTGTAGCTCATCGCCGCCGATACAGATTTTCTAGGTTTCGTTACGGCTACTTTTTTTTATCCTCGGCCTCCCCGTCCCCGTAAGCGTTATCGTCTTCCTTGCCACCCTCAGCCCCTCCAACCTCGCCCAACCCCCGTCCGCCAACCCTCCCTATCACCCAAACACCGCCGCTCTTCTGTAAACACGAATGATTTTCAATTTTGAAAATTGAAATGAATCTCAAGGAGAGTCCGGAGCGTTGACAGAGAATCTACAGTCGTTCGTACAGGCTACGAGTCTGTGCGTCGAGCGGCATTTATCTCTAAAACAATTTCGTGTTTGTTCGAATGTTTACGAAGAAGAAGGAAAACAATCATAGACTTTCCTGCAGCTTGAAGCCCGATATTTTAAAATTTCTTTAATAATAACAACGATAATGGGTCTTACTTAGCTCGACATATTAGCTCTTATCGATAAAGATGCGAGCGGGAGAGCGGATGTGTGACGGAGGAAGATGGGAGTCGTAAATGCATTGACATTCTGTGGGATACGGAGGGGCCATCGTCGTTATCGTCCTGACTCTTTGCGAGTGTATTGCGGCAGCGGTGCTTCCGTTTTACGCAACTCCCGGAGGTGCCTTTGTAGCGCGCGCGCGCGGTCACCTCGGAGAGGAAGGAGAGCGTCCAGCTTCACCAACTATATGCGTATCTGTCATTACGGGGCATTCGCCAGCGCGTGTCTCCGCCATTTTTCCGCTTTCCTCCCGTGCGTCTTTGGGCCCAAGGTCCCTGCACCAGCGAAGCGCGACGAGGGGACGCGAGGTAGGCATCCTTGCGAAACTGTCTCGGGCTAATGAAGTGTGCGTGTAGTCTGTTGATTATTTTCGCGTTGCCATCGGCTGTATTTTTCGCCTGTACACCATTCGTGGAATAATGCGGAGAGAGAACACGGGAGGTGCTTGGGGGTGAATTCATCCGGGAACTCGTCATCGGCAACGCGAGGTGAGCGAAATAGATGACAGAGCGGTTGGACTCGATGGATAAATCTCGATCGTTACCGATCCACCACTTGTGTTGCTTTAACGTCGCTGTACAATGCTTATTATAACCATCATGGTCAGCGTCATTGGTCTATCGACAGTCTCGGATCGATGACGGCTGCATAATTAAGATGGGCTCTGCTGAAAAAACGATAGGTTACACCAAGTATTATACTAAAGTATATTACCTAAAAACGATCAAAGAGTTGAGTAAAAATGATCGTGAGAGTGATGTAGGGCAGAAATAAAATCGCGAAGCCAAAATGGAATACACCACTTTATAGTATTCACCTGTCAGAGCGTGCATCATCATTTTTAAGGATAATTGATAGGAAAGGCTATAGATGGATATTGCCGGTCGGTGAAGGCCAGGTAAGGACACCAAGAAATGAATATATTTTGTTTCGGACGGTCAGTTTCCAATTTACTCGTGCGCTTCTCGGAAAATACACAGTGGACAGAACGTAATTAAGACAACTACAATGTTGGTTGTATCTTTCCCTTTTTATACGTTTTCACAAGTCGATTTCTATTCTCTCGTCACATGAAGAAGTAATCGAGATGCCTGATGGACTGCGAATGCTTTTGTCTGTTTGCAAATTTTAAATAAATAAGGCATTTTTAACAATGGAAATTATAAAGATAGGTGTCGATCGAACGAAACGTCCGAAAATCCAGGGAAGCAGCGACTATATCTCAAGTAGCAAAAACGAAACAACACAACAACCATAACATAAAAACAAAACAAAAAAGCAAAACAAAAAAAATGCAGCAACAAAAACAAAACAAAACAAAGAAAACAAAAAGGAACGAAATAGTGAATAGATGGCGAGGGAATTGAGGGGGGGGGATCAAAGGTGTGGATGCCGCCGTTCGAGGTCGGCAGCGGGAATATAGGTGAATCGTCTAGGCACTCTTCTCCTTTTCCTTCACAGTCTTTAGCTGCCGACACTTACGGCGAGTCAAGGGCTCGAGAGGTGGGAACTGCGTGGGCGTTCGCCTCCGTATGCCGAGGCATGATTTTCGCGCGAACAGCTTCAATAGGCAATGTGTAAGCTCTTATCGCGCGGTATCGTCCGCTGCGGGGGCTTGGGCGGTAAGGAGTCTAAAAATTCGTTAGCGGTGTCCTATAGGTGGCAATAAAGCGATCGTTCCAAAGCCGTGATGGGCCGGGGGGGGACTGGAAAACGAAAATAAAAGAAGCCGTGCCGCGTAAGTAAGAGTGCGGGCCGGGGGACGGGGGAGTGAGCGAGTGCAAGCGGGCAAGAAAGCGAACGACAGAGGTTTACTCGCGACCACCGCGCCCCCGCTTGGGAGCCACGGCGCCAGGAGGCGACGGTCAGATAGAAAGTGATGGTGTGAGTGAGCGAGTGAATGATCGAGAGTGAGAGATGGATCTCATGACGGGCAGGGGGCAGGGGGGATAGACTCGTCGCTTGGGAGGAGTGTTCGCCCCCTCGGGAGAGTACGGGCCTGGCGCCGGCATCATCCGTCTCTCTCTTCTCTTGCGCGCCGGGGAGCGGTGGCGGCGGCGGCGGCGGCGGCGGCGGCGGCGGCGGCGGCAGCGGCGGCGGCGGCAGCAGCGGCGGTGGCACGCCAGAGTAGGTAGTGGAAGAAGATGGAAGCGGGTGAACGGCTCAGTTGCTTGTAAACGGCCCTAAAGTGCGGTACGTCCCGTCCGCCCTGTCTGCGTGTCTCGACACAACGACAACGACGACAACAATAACAATAATATTGGCACCATCAACCATAACGACAAGGAAGCTAATCAACGCCAGCAGCGGTGGTGTCGCTCCCCTGCAAGTGCGAAACCCTCGTGGTAGTTGGAGGAGCTGCTTGCCGCCGGGAAGCAGCAACCGGGCGCTTCCTACCTGTTCCCTTCTCTCGAAGGTGTGTCGCACGTGAAGAAGGATGATCCGCGGATTCACAGTTTTCCGAAGTCTTGTCGCTAGTGGTAGCAGTAGCAGTAGCAGCAGCAGCAGCAGCAACGACAACAACAGCAGCAGTAGTAGTTGTAGCGGTGCTACCGGAAGGTCGACGTTTCCGAGTGAGACCGGATCGCGGCTTCACTAAGAGTTGGAGGGATAAGCGGCAGCAGCATTCATCCGCAACTCTTCTGGACTGCTCCGAGCAGTAGTGCGTTTCGGTGCGCGCGGCCGCCGCGGCTTTAACGCGAAACAAAAGAAAAGAGACGAAGGAGAAGCCGCTACTCCCGCGCTTCTTCTTTATCTTCGAGCGAGACACAAACAGAATCCACGGAGCTTATGCTCCGGGACATTCGACCACCGGCCCCTATCTCATGTGCTTTTTTTATCGTTATTGTCATTGGCAATAGCGTGTGAGAAAGGTCATTAAGTGCGCGGTGAAGAATAGTGATAAAGCAGCGAGTTGTTTTACTCATCCCGACGCATCTTTCATGTTCTCAAGGTAAGGCGGCCAGCTTCTTCTATTGCTACTTCTGTTCTTTCTTCTCTTCCTCGTCTTCTCCCACCTTCTTCTCATACTACACTACTACTACTATTAGAAATATTACTAATACTACTATTGTTGATACTGTTACTGTTACTACTACTACTACTGTTGCTGCTGATACTACTACTGTTAGTAATATTATTTTACTATTTCTCCTTTTTTTTGGTCTTTTCGCGTATTTGCCGCGCCCCCGTACGTTGCTTCGGCTTTCCGAAATAGCGCGCGCCGCATTTTTCCGGGAAAAGCGTGTACCGGCCGTCTAGAGCTTGACACGTCGTCGCACGCACCTCAAAAAAGCCGGTTGCCGGCTGTCAGACGTCGTTGGCGGCGGTGGCAGTGGCGGTGACAGTGTGGCGTGGTGGCGGTCGTCATCTTCGACGTCGTCATCGCCGTCGCCGTGTAGTCGTAGTCATAGTGTGATCGTCGTGGTGTAGTAGTAGTTGTATGGTGGGCTTAACGCGAGGGGCCGCCCAGCAAGAAAACGACGCCACATCGGCGCGTTTATCGATTGGCGGCGGTGGCGGCGGCGGCGGTGGCGGCGGTGACAACGACAACTACAAGCACGTCTACACTACATTACGACTACGCTATGAGAAACTATAATTTTAACTATGATTATGATTATGGTTGTGATTTTAACAATGACTACTATATAACTTCGATGCTGACGCCGTTGTCGACGCCGACCAAGAGACGACCAAGACACGACCAAGACACGACCAAGACACGACCAAGACACGACCAAGAGACGACCAAGACACGACCAAGACACGACCAAGACACGACCAAGACACGACCAAGCAACGAAAACGGCGACGATAAGCACGACGACGAAGACAACGACGATGACGGCGGCGGCGGCCGTAACCACTATTCGTTTCTCTGTCATGCTGTGCCTCACCGGCTTTTGCGGACGCGCAGGCATTCTTCCTCCCTCCCTCGTCCCCCTGCCTCCTCGCGATGACATCGCGGCACGTGTAGCACGGGCGCGGCCTTTGCCCGCCACCGACCGTTACTTGTTTTGCGGGCGTTTTTTTGTTGTTTATTATTGCGCCGTAATTCGAGGAAGCGCGCGAGGCCCGCGCCAAAATGCAGTCCGGGCCGCCACGTCGTTTCGCCTACGTTTTCCCATGACATTTGGGACGCGGCCGGCCAGCCCCGATCTTTCCTGGCTATTCAATGGATGGGGAACGCGACGCGGCCTCGTCCTTCCTGGATGTTGATGTCGCGAGGAAAACAAAATAGTTTTATATGCCTCGGGCGTGAATGACATTCGAGGAACTTTGACCAGACTTGCGGCGCGAAACAAGACGAGCTGTTTACACTTAACTGAAAAATCGGCGTCACCGATTTTATCGTGGCCCCGATATAATCGCACGGGCGCCCACCCAATGTTGATAAACGATATAAAAAGATGAGAGTGAGAGAGAGACAGAGAACGAACTAACGACGATTGGGTGGGGGAATCGGCGTCTAAAATCTCGAGCTTTGGAGAATTAATTAAGGCTGAGATTCCGGTGGGACCGATGGGACGGCTGGACATACACGGAGAGCATTCTGTCGATTGAAATTTCACGCTGGTTAATTTAATCTTGTTCGCTTTTCATTGTTGCGCCAAGTTTTTCTATTACAAGTAAACGACTAAGATGTCGTATTGCGCAATATTGTGCAATATGGCGCAGGAAATTTCGGCTATAGTTAATGTAATACGGCTGAAGACGAGTCGTTGTGTCGGGTTTTCTCGTAAATCCGGCGCGGTACATCAAAAGTTTATATGTCCCAGACAATAATCGCAATTCGGTATCTGTAATCAATCTTTCAATAGCGATGGCGTTAATAATATGTACAGGGGAAGAGAAATAATTTGGCGCTCGACGATCAACGACGCTGTTTGACAGACAGACACAGATATAGATAGAGAGAGGGAGAAAGAGAAAGATGATCCAATCGTGCAATAGATGTGACGGACGGTCGAAAAAAATTAGCAATGTTACAAAATTGACATGAAAAATCCGCAGCATCGGCGGAGGCGGAGGCGGTGGCAGCGTCAGCGACAGCGACAGAGCGCGTCGGTTCTTTGAAAATATTATCTAGTTGGGTAGCGCGAGAGTCTGTTGCTTCTACGTGGCAGCCGCGGTAAGGTCGTTAATTTATTTAATTTATCGGAAAGCCCGACGTCGACGTACGAGAATGATCGTGTCGCCTAAAACAAAGCGGTCCGGCGGCTACAGTGGCGCGGGGCCGGAGGGAAGAATAAGGTGGACAGGAAGAAAAAGAACAAAGCTAGACGAAAAATGCCGATTGGATTCTCCCCGAAACCCGTGCGTCGCCGATACAATAAACAAAAAAGACATATCGATCGACTCGGCGACTCTTGCGCGCCGCCTTTTATTTACACGCCGTGGGAAATTCGACCTCTAAATTGTTTTTGCATCTTCGGGTCGCCGGTGACCTGTAAATAAAAGCACGGATCTTTCTTTAAACCCTTGTTTGTTCGCCGCGTTTGGGCTCTCGGACACACTCGTGAATTTATATTGAAGTCTTACGCAACTTAAATGTCGTCGTTGGGGCTAATTATGCGATAAGACGCTCGCGTTGACAAACGTGTGCCTCTATTTTTTTTCCCCTCTCCTATGTCCCATCCAACCCGCTCGTCCATTATCTCACCCGTCATTTAGGATTTTAAATATTTACGTCTCTAGTGATTTATCGCCAAAGGTTTATTATTCTTCCTTTATCCTGCTATGGAGCTTTTGGTTTTCATGAAGATTTTCCATGAATCGTAACGAGCGTGACCGTCACTTCTTTAAAACGCCGACGTACGTTAAAAGGGCGCTTTTCTCAATCGTCCCCACACATCGTCATCATCATACGATCATGATCGTATTACTTCTTCTTATTTTTGTAATTACTATTATATCACCACACCATCCGTATTTTGGCTTGGTTGCGGCGCCGGTCTGTGCGTTTGTATTTTCGGCATTCGCCCCAGGGACTCGATTTTCCATCGCGTAGTCGGCAGAAAGGTAGCGAGATCATTCGAGCATTATGCGATGACCGACAAAGGCTCCTCGAGTTTCCCCGTAATTTCACTTGCGCCGATGCACATCGTGATTTTTCCAGCGTCAATGTTCCGAGAACGATTTCCACCGAATCAAAGGAGATCTTGGCGCGATAGCGAAAGTACAAGTTTTTGGGTAACCTCGAGGTTTGGCATTTTTGATAATTCGAAGACTTCTCATTTTCCCATGCGTCGTCGTCGTCGTCGTCTTGCGTGTAGATCTTCCGCCACTACTCGTCCTTTGCCAGCCCCGAGGGGGCATGAATAATAGAAGGAAAGAGAGGAAGAGAAAAGAGCTCAGACCCTCCCGATAATGTCATTGTTTTTCTTCACCGGTGTGTTTTTACGGGCGAGCGAATCACAATACCGAGGTTCTCGTCATTGTCGCCATCGATTTAGCCCTGGAAATGAAAGAAGACAGAAAAAAAAGAAAGAAAAAAAAGCAGGAAGGAAACGCGAATGTAAAGTGCACTTTTTCGCGCAATCCGGTGACGGCGTCCCCAAGTGTGTGCGGCGTCGGCCTCTCTTCATAGCTGCGAAGAGAGGATTTTCGGCGACACCCGGACGTATCAAGTTTCGCGCGCTTTTTCTCGACTAAGTTCGACTCAGCCTTTGCTTTGCGTGTGCCTTGACGTATTTCGCCAAGCCTCCTTATCCACTTAATTATATGATTCCTTATGCTTTGCCAGTCGAGAAAAGTCGTTCTCACGCAATTCTTGAAAATTCACAGCCCCTAATCTTTTCGTTTGTTTGATTGTTGTTTGTTGTTGTTATTGTTGTTGTTGTTGTTATGCTGCCTCGCATAGATGAGAAATGTTTATTTTTACCATGTAATTTATAACTTTAATTCCTAAAGTAACTTTATCAATGCGCTTGTGTATGTGTGTCAAAAAGTTCTAAACTATACATTACTCCAGCATCAGTTTTATGACTCATGTGTAATTATAGAAGTAAACTCGTTTCCGTTTCATCTACTTGATTTTTTCTTTATAATTCAATACCATTCACTGCAAGACTTATAATTCGCGCTCCAAATGTCTGCCGATTTCACGCAATTAAAAAATTTCTACCTTAAATAATAATGCACGGCTAGTCGAGAGCTTTCAGTGCGAGATAGACATTTTCCTTTCAAATTCAATGGACGTCCGATTCCCCCATCACTTCCACCAATCAACAATAATTGATTTAAAAGCACCGTGTATTCGTTCCTCGCTTTTAATACTTCCATGCAATGACGTTTAGACTCTACGCATTTCATCTCTATTTCTTCCCACCGCATCAACTTGTGTACGTACGCCTCGTGTCGATATTGGCTTTGCAATAGGCGCGAAAATCAAAGGGAGTCTGCATAAAGCTCCTCTGGTGTACTTCTGACAAGTGCGAATCGACGAGAATGTGGAGCAAACCGATCGTAGTCTTGATCGTATTCATAGTCCTAGTCTTAGTTCTAGTCCTAGTCCTAGTCTTAGTCCTAGCGTAGTCGTCGTCTCGTCGTAATAGTCATTGCTCTACGCATTTGGGCTTCGAATGAAAAAGGATAGCCACGATGGAGATGGAAAGAATGCCACAATAATCTCCCTCTCGCTTGCACACACTCCCCTCAGGATCCTTCTTCGATTCTCCCGTGGGTCGCTGTGCCGTTATATACTACATTACACATTATGTCGCAACGCGTCGCGAGCTCTCAGGCTACTTCTACAACGAACAGTGAGAATGGGCGCGAGATTATGGCGACGCCGTGCCGCGCGATCCTCGGTATTAAAGACAGCTGGAATTGACTTAATCTATCCAAATGGACACGGAGACGTTCGTGCGTAAAGGCGTCGAGACATTTTCAGGCGCGGCTTCCCACCACGTTTGTCTCGATGCATGTACGCTCGATCCATCCTGGTGTTGTAGAGCCAGCCGTATCGCAACGTATTTATCTCCATCTCTTTTCCTTGATGTATATACAGGCATCGGTACATCGATTGCCTCGCGAGTAAGAGGTGGCTGGAGACTGGCGGTATAGACCGGGAAAGAGAGAGAGAGTTGGAGAGAGAGAGAGTTGGAGAGAGAGAGAGAGAGAGAGAGGGAGAGAGAGAGAGAGAGAGAGAGAGAGAGTGAGTGAGTGAGTGAGTGAGTGAGTGAGTGAGTGAGTGAGACGCGAGCCAAACGCAGCAACAGCAACAGCAACAGCAACACCACAACAGCAGCCTCGAGAAATGCCTCTTCATGTTTTGTGTTCTCTTCCTCTTACTTTTTTCCAACTATTCGTATCGGCTTTTTCCGCTTTTCCCTCTCGCTTATACTCTCCACGCTGAGAAACAACCGTAAAATGCAATTTTCTTCTCTTTGTCCTCTTCTCATGTCTTTCTCTCCCCGTAAAATGTCAAATACGTACGCTGGGACGATAGAAAGACACTCACCTATTATTGAGTTATTACTAAGTGTAGTGTGAGGAGTGAGTGAGGCATGTAAGAGAGTGAGAAACTAAAATGAAAAAGAAAAATTAATGCGGTTGTGCATGCCAAAGATAATATACATTGCTTTTGTTAAGTCCAAAGACAGAATCTTGAGAGTGTTTCTTACACGCTATTACAGCTGGTAGACGTTTACTGGGTACTGAATTCTCGTAATTGTTTCATTTCCAAATATGGGCTAATAAACTATACATGCAATCTATATTTATATCAATGCGTGCATTTGTGTTTTTAGCCACTATTGTTATGCATGCTTCCTGAAAAGTACAAGTCACCAATTTACATAATTTATACATTTAATCTCTATTTACACGTTTGATTATTATGCTCCTCCAAAATCACCACTTGGTAATCCTCCAGCGGATTTAAATTTAATAATTAGTCAGTAAAAGTACAGTGAATTTGCAATTCATATTTGCAATTGGACATGATATACAGAGTAGAGCGGTTTGGGCGCGGTATTGGGCGAGAATTCCGTGACATGAATGGAACTGCAATTATTACGGCAGAGGGCTCCTTGTATATACGGGGCGGGAAGTGAGTTAAAGAAAAGGGAAAACTAACCTACCCGTTTTTGTATGATACCCGCAGAATGCCAGTACCTGTGTGGGACTCGGACATTGTGTTCCTTGAGGAGCCTTTGGACACGGCCACCGTCGTGTCCGATGATATTTGGAAAAAATTCGATCTCGACGTGCCCCTGGAAAACTACCATCACCGTTACCAGAATGACATTCTAGGGGCTGGTATCTCCAGCTTACCACCACACTGCGAGGCACCCATGATGATGCACTTCGACAAACTCAATTGCCAGGCCTCGCGGAAAATCCGCCACCACGACTGCATGTGGGCAGGCCTCTGCATAAGTAAGGAGCACAATCGCACACACCCGGCGAAGAAGGACAACCAGATACACAGGAGAATACCAGCGGGTCGCAGTCTACTCATACCCAAGGTCGCCGCTAATCAGCAACAGAGCCAGCAGAGCCACCATCACAGCCTCCAGGCAGGTAATCATCAAAGGCAGTCGTCCCTGGTGACGAGCGGCGTGTATCAGACCTCATGCAGACCGACGATGGCCACGACGATGCAGGCAGCCATGATGGTTACGTCAACGGCGAGTACGACTACGACGTCAATGGCAATGAAGAGCCTCGAAAGCGACGGGGACTCAACGCGGCCCGAGACCCCCCAGAGCAGCGAGTCCGAGACGGAGAGCGAGGACGACGACGAGGACGACGAAGCGCCAGTCTTCCGGCACGAGCAGATAAATATCAATGACATTGTGTCGATGCCGGTGAGCGAGGTAACTGGTCAGCAGATACAGAGGCGGCCATCGTCCTACGACCGTAGAAGAGACGACAGGATGCTGAGGGCATCCGAAAGTCAAGAGACGGCCATTAGAAATACGCTTATGAGCGATCACTGCTATCATCTCAATCAGCAGCCCATGAACAGTAAAAAGCTCGAACATCTGGGCGTCCAGACACCTTCCGATTCCGGTGAGTTTTCATTTCCACAATTATACCCCCCCAGCCCACCCCAATAACCCCACGCGTACTCAACGTATCTCCATAAATATTATATATATACAACACTGTATTATTCACTCGTTGAAATATAATCTTCGAGTACAGGGAAACGTCATTGGATTCTTTATACCCCCCCCCCCCCCGCAACACCACCCATCGAGCGATTATTATAGTAAATGGTCAGACCATAATGATCGGTATGAGTAGCAGTAGCAGTCGAGCAGACCTTACACATCCATCCATCCATCCATCCATCCATCCATCCATCCATCCATCCATCCATCCATCCATCCATCCATCCATCCATCCATCCATCCATCCATCCATCCATCCATCCATCCATCCATCCATCCATCCATCCATCCATCCATCCATCCATCCATCCATCCATCCATCCATCCATCCATCCATCCATCCATCTATCCATCCATCCATCCATCCAACCATCCATCCATCCATTCATTCATTCATTCATTCATTCATTCATCCAACTATCTTACCGATAAGATTGATGTGGCCCTTTCAAAGTTTATAAAGACGATTTTACAAAATTTTATCTTTCTTATTTGATGGTGAATATCGAAATCATGCCATTGGCCTCGGTCCGGTTACAAATGACCAAAGTTGATAAACAAAAAAACAAATAACAACTACGTATTTGGCCTCGTTTGTCAATAAATTGTTAATATGTGTTGTACTTGCCGTTCATGAGCAAGGATCGCTGGGCAATACAAGCCAAAAGCGATCGTGTTATACTCTCTTGGGATTTGAAAGCAGATTGTGTAGAGACTAGTCCAAAAAAATAAACCCGTTTTACAAAGCTCTGAAACACAATTCCCACGATGGTATAAGGTTCCTCTCCCTCCCACCCCCTCTCCACTTTAGCCCCTACTCCTCATCTCGATCTAGTCCCGCCAATACAAGCAATCTTTGCTCTCGCAATTCGGTTGAAAGAATACAGCCAAAATCGGAAAAACTAAGATTGATCGCAAGCCAAATTGAAATAAATTTCTGCGCAAAATCTGAGCCGAAAGCACGTTATTTACAAAGATTAATAAGGGCGGTAATAATACTACTGCACTGCGTTCCGTTAGCCTAAGTCTATAAATATATCTCGGTTAGCATTATTTTTATCGACAACATTTCGGGCAAATACGAACTAGTTTATGGCCCTAATTGGAATGATGGTGGTCGTGGTGGTGGTGGTGGTGGCGGCGGCGGCGGCGGCGGCTATGGCAGCGGGAAGCGGAGGAGCGGCTGATTTTTCGGGCTCCGTTTCGTTAAAAGTCCCACGATTTTATGAAGCCCGGCCTCGTTCCTTTCACACGTAATGCGCGACGCGTCTGTAGCTTGGATTGACAGTCCGTTGAATTCGGGCGCCCGCATGCCGGCGCTAATCTTTTCCCGCCTCTTTTTCTCGTTTGCGCCCGACAAGAGACTTTGCCAGACCTGACTAAGCGACCGCGCGCCGGATGCGCAAAAGTCAAGTGTCAATCGTCGCGTTTATTGTACGTGGAGTGTGGAGCCCCTGATCCCCTCCCCACACCCTCATCCCAGCGTCCAACTCTCCACCGTCGTTCCCATCACGACCACACGACCACACGACTACCATCACCCCGCATTTTGCCCGGCCGCGCTAGCTCTCGAGTCACTTCTGTGACGCCCTGGTGGAGGTGGGTGTATGCGCCACTAGAGTTGGATGGGCAGGCAACGTCAAAGACCGGTGACATAAATTTAATAAAGTTCTGGCTTAGCAAAAGGGTTGTTGTAATGTATCTTATTAATTTGAAATTCCGCCTCTCGCTATCATCCATCCAGACTCCCACCCCCCTATCGCCCCTCTCTATTCCTAGTTCCTCCCTCGACTCGTCACACTCTGCTCGCTTCGTATAATTTAGACGCGCGCGCCTGCAGCGTAATCGTTGATAATTCGAAGCAACGCGGAATTCGCTAAGGAGAATTCTAGAATTTTATTCATTACATTCGCACCGTAAGCAAATTATTGAAAAGAGCTACTTTTTCCATCATTATCGTTTTACATTTTTAGAAATCATAATAAATACGAGAGAGCGATTGTCGTCGAGACTAATGAAATGGGCGAATAAACGAATGTAAGACGTCAATGTGAAATGCGTCTGTTTTTTGTAATAAAAGTTTTAAAAATTTAAATGTTGACAAAGAAGAATATTTCGATTGACGGGTGGATTGAATCGTAATGTATATTATGCCCCCGTGTGATTAAAGCACAATGATACACGTGTGTTGGCATAACGATTTCGAAAGCCTTTCCGTGGAATTCTGGTGCTGCATTAATTTTTACTTTCTAACAGTATTTCGTTGCTTTAGTATAATGATGGCTTTATTCGTTTTGTTAATTCGAATTAATTTTTTTATTTTTGGGTTCTTTTCTCTCTTGTTTTTTGTGCAATGTGCAATGGGTACTTTTAATTTATATCAACTTTGCCAGTATCAAAAATCTTATTAGATCATAGTAGACTGATATAAGTATTATACTCGTATAAGTCTTTAAAGATTTTAGCATTGAAAACAGTTGTGTAAATAGCTTTTACGCACGCATTTAATCACGCGGACACCGTTTGAAACTTATAAATATTTAATAATCAAGAGTCCCAAATTTATAGATTTACTATAAAAGTTTATGAAAGCTACTGAGGAAAAACGAGTTTTTCGAAAATTCAGTAACTATGTACAAATGGAGAATAGTAGTAAAATTAATATAAGAATGTAATATCAAATAGCCTCGTATTATATAAAACATATGGAGATTTAGGAATTACATACCTGAGCAATAATTTAAAAGAGACGCGATAATGCTACTTTTGAGTAAATGAATTCCAAGTGGTGCAAGAGTGTGGATGCGTGTTTGGAAAATGTAAATGGCCTGTGGAGGGAAAATAATGCTAAATGGTAAATGAATGGCGTATAGAAGAAGCAGGGGGAAGGTACAAGCAGGTGAAACGAGCGATCACACTCAAGAAAAATGCGATCGATAAACAACATTCGCACGTAAGTGACCCACTAATCTGTCATAACGCTCCACGAACGAGGCGGGAAGGGGGATGGGGAAACAAAATAAAAACACAGACCGGCAAAAAAGAACGATTGTACCGCGAGCACACATACAAGCATCGGGATTCGCTAACGGTACTTTACACGCGGTGCTAAGCCAAGGAATGCGAGTGCAATTCGGTATGCAGCGCTCGGGTACACGCGGAAAAAACAATTGCCGGCATACCGGTTTTTCTCGCTCACGAGAGGAGATAAAGCGCTCGCCTATGTATCTGTGTGAGCTAGAGGAGGATAGAGAGAGAGAGAGAGAGAGAGAGAGAGAGAGAGAGAGAGAGTGGAAGAGTCGTCCCTGCGATGTCACTCTAATGCATTCATTCGCAAACAATCACGGGAGCAATAATCTTGTGCACGACGCGTACCAGAGCGCAACAGACGGTGTAGCGCTCGAATGTATCCGGCTGTTTGACTTTCGGTCGTTATCTCGCACGCGTTTATGCAATTTGAGCCTTGTTTTTCGACGATATGAAAAAGTAAGGGAAAAGGAAGAAAGAAGAATCTGCTTTTTTCCAATATTCGCATAGACTATTATTAACATCGGCACTCGGAAAGACCGAGGGACTTTAATATTGTACTTCATATTGTAAATTATATTTGTCGAAGCAAATGTATTCTTTTCATGATGCACTTTATCGCCTCATCCGTTCTCCTGTCCTAGGGATAACACTTTGTCGCGTGAGAGTAGGTACACCGAGGGTGTATATATATATATATATATATATATATATATATATATATATATATAGCACTTACTCTTATCTTGTATCTGCGCTTGTTTGCTTCTCACCGTGGGACTTATTGGTGAAGATAGAGATATCTTAGCGTTTATAATTTAATTTACCAATAATTTTTTATGATTATTTTAGCGGCTTGTTGTATTTCTCATGGTTGCTCGTTTTGGTTCTACACCCCTCCCTCCCCACCCCCATTACAAATCAACAAACTTACCCCGATAATTAGTTCCGAATTAGGGAGATAAGGATCGACTTGCAATGAAATATTGTTATAACTTTGGATTCGTGCGTAAAAATTTTCTTATCGTATATGGTACTCTCAATCGCGTTCGAATATCTTTTTTTTCACCCATGAATGAAAAAGTATGGGAAATAATTGCAGAAGGTGGTAATATTATCAGCATTTCTCCTCGATATCACCAGACATTTAAATATGTCTGCAGTGTTGATTAATGCGTTTTATATATATATGTGTGTGTGTGTGTGTGTGTGCGCGCGCGCGTGCGCGCGTGTGTGTGTGTGAGCAAGAGATGCGCCGCCATAGTCGTCATAGTCATCGTTCCGCCATACGTCGCCGGTGACATCGCGACGTGACACCGACCGACTCGACGTGTAACCGTCTCGCCTCGCAATCGTTTACACAATGAAACGGCGCATCGTTCATAATCTGCCCCTTTCCGTTGTTAATGCTTCCTTGCGAAACTTAACGCCCCGCGTTTAATAGGTTCGCTGGCTGGGTGAGTGAGAGTCGGAAATTGAATTGTCAAGAATCGAGTTCAAGCTGAAAATTTTCAGATCTCCCTATCTTTCCCTCGCTCCTTTCTCACCCTACTGTCCATCTACCACGATTCTTCGCATTCATCCTTCTTTTGCATTTATGGATTGTTTGATTATTTCGACAACTGGCGTGAAAGCAGATTCGTTTTCGTGTAATTGATTTTCAGTCAAAACGTAGAGACCACTGTGTTGTACATCTATTTTAATTAAGACCGCGCGCCCGGCCGACTCTCTTAAATGAAGTTGAGCATTTTATGGAAAAAAGTGATCCGAGCGCGTATGTATCGATAGAATATAACATACGTCTCTGAAGCAGCGCCACACTAAGCCGTGTCAGGGCCCTTATGTGATGGCGAATGACGAGACAGGCAT